TGCGAAAATTCCCGCATCAGACGCTCACAGTTAAGTGACGGTAACGTTGAGATTTTAACTAAGAACCGTCGAGCAAGCCGGCATCCAAGCTAAACGTTCGTCAACCCCCAAACTATTACATAAATGTAACTAAAATTATACGTAATCTGGCCGTGTTACACGCAACTGTTTTATCTAACGACTATCTAAAAAAAACAGTGTCAACGCTTGCGTTATAAAAAGTTGAACAGTAATAAATCATATGCTAATTTTATTATACTTAATTATATGTTACCTTTATTTAACCAAATTCGTTAAAGAAGGGGCAGTATAAGGTTTCGCTCCAAGGTTAGAAAGCAAAATGCGTCTCGGAATTTAAATTTTAAATTTTGACTAAAAATCTTTTTTAATATCTAATTAGCATTATCTAATAAGCATTAGCATTATCTAATAATCTAATAATCACCATCTTTATGCATTATAAATAGCTTATCCAATGAAAAATTCTAGTAATCCTTACTAATATTATAAAGGCGAAAGTTTGTATGCATGGATGGATGATTTTTACTCTTTCCAGCAAATACTACTGAATGTATTTTAGTGAAACTTTACAATAATATAGCTTATACATTAGAATAAGACATAGGGTGTAATTTGTATACACATTTTTAAGTATATCCGTCTTCCTGTATAAATGTTACGCCTTCAGCCTATTCTACGCAGACGTAGTCGCGGGCAGCAGCTAGTTAAGGACATATATTTATGTCATACTGCCAGACAAAGTCCAATCAGCATAATCCCCCGCGAGGCTCTATTCAGGAGACGGCCTCATGTTCTGCAATGCTTTTTTCATGCTGCTTTCTTTAGAAACCGAGCACGTGACAGAATGTTACATTTGTTTCAATGGCAAGTGGCACCCGATATCGAACTGAGATTACACGAGTTTACTAAACGAATGGGCCCATATAATAACACTCATGAAATACATTTAAAATATAATATTGTAACAACTCTTACCGCTGACTTTATCCGTTAAGGTTGAAGTTGCATACGCACCTGCGTAACAGTATTGTGTTTTTGTTTCAACAGCGCTGATTCGTTATTTGTAACATCCAACCATGCGCACATCCGATTGACTCTAACACGCGATTCCAATGACTTTTTAACCATTCCCAAAGAACGTCAGGCCAACCGTCCACTACCAATAATAAGAAAGCGACAAGAGTTTCTTCAATTCTTTTGTACGTACATTGTTCATAAAGTGTTTAGGCATGATATGCAGTAGAATTTTCATTCCATAAAACAAGCAAGGCACTTACTTACAAGTAAGTCTTTATCGGTCATATGTTAAGGGATAATCCTAACTTTTCATGCACTTGCTAAAGCCTTTTCATCCCATAGAGGGATGGGGGTGGGATTAGTAAGACCGACAGGGTAACTCGAGAAAGGTTTACGTTCGACATTGAACTATTAGGAGACGCGCGAATTGTTGGTTAACCGAGTGTTTTGCAAGAGTCCTGTGTCGGTAACGCTGTGTCCAAGCCCAACCGCTAATTTAAAGATATTGCCACGTAATACCTACGCAACGCATATGTCTGTACATTTACGAACAAGTACACTTTAAGGATACTAAACTCAATTTTTCAAATTATGAAACAGAGAACTTTGGCACGGTAGAATTTGAAAACAAGAAAGATGCGATAGATGAAATTTGCAAATAGTAGTAATCAAGTAACAATTATTCATATAGTCACATAGAAAACAAATCTGGAACTCTAGATAGTAATTATTTAACAGACACGTTCAATTACTCTTCATCGTTGGGACGTCAGTTTTCGCTTCAGAGATTCTTTTATGTCTGTATTATTGTTTCGTATTGGCAAAGCCTTATCACTGTCCTTCTTCTATCTCCTTTTTTTATCTATTGCATAAACTAACTTCAAAGAACTTAAAGTAACTTTTTTCCTTTAATACGATAGGCACTATTACTTAGTGACGCGGTTTAGATTATGTATATAGCTATAGCTTACGGTTAAATTGGAACTATTTTGGATGTATAAACAAATGGATAATGTATGTACAAACAAATTGTAAATACTATATTTCTACTATATGTTTGTTGCATAAATATTTGTTTCTGTTATTATATGTATATAATATTTCAGGACAAAGAAGATAAGCCTATAATTGCGGACGATAGTTAAGAATAAGAAAATCATGAGATAAGATATATCTATCCAATTTCTTTTGAGCATTTACAGAATTTGTAAAAATATTCGTCGCAGAAAAGGAGCACATAAATTGATGAATCCATTGGTGTAGTAGATCGAACCCATTCGTGTACTGGATCCCCGCTAATGGAAAGATATGGTGTGATGACAATAATACTTTGGTTATCGACGTATAATATTTACATCATCATCATAATTTACATAAAAACATGTATGTTTAAACATCTTTATTACTTATATAGTTAACTTTGTATAAAAATGTGTACAGAATTATTTATTTATTCATAGACTTTAAGCATTAACTTGAAAGTCTTCGTAGGGAGATGTGATGATGTCTTATAATCCTTTTTTCTTGTGAATAACTTTCATGTTCAAATATCGTATAATGACTCGTTTTTCAGTTGATGATGGAGTAAGTAATCTAAGATGCAAAATTCCTGCTGGCGACAGCCACTGGGCTATTAAGAGAAAGTCGTTTAAGAAACGCCATATGTAAAACAACAAACATTGGTCAGTGGTATGTAATCGTTTTTTTTCTAGGTAATAATTATTAACATAGCTACTATTAATAGTTTGCGTAACACTGAAAGGGATTTTTGCACTTAACGCAATTACGGTAAATTCCATGTTCGTAATTTTGTTTTGCTCGCTTGCTTTGAAAGTTTAGTGATATTTAAATATTTAGATAATATACTGAACGGGTTGTTTTTACTTTTTGCTATATTTTTTTCCAACTAAACTAAAATTTTATTCTTTCTAAAAGTTCAAGCAAGAATATTACTAATGTTATAGTAAATGTGCTTTACGCAAAAGCATTTTAAGTAAATCATATAATAGAATTCTCTACGCTTACATACGTACAATATGGTAATATTTTCAAGAAAATCTCAATTAGCAATGAAATGCCAAACATATTATCACAAAAGTGATATGAACGTATACATACATTCGATTTTTGATTTTTATTCGTCTATTACAATTTTAATGTGAATTTTATAAAATTGAGAATTTTAAGAACATCTTAACATTGGTGAAATTTTGATAACTCACAAACTAATCTATCATTAAAATGAAGAAGAAGAAGAAGAAAGTATCATAATAGAATTAATTAAAACATTAAAAAGAAATCATGCCTTTCCTAGCAGAGGGACATATAGCTGTTAATTTAAAGGGTAGTGAATTTAATAAATTTCTAATCGTTGTTAGCTTATTTCGAAAGTCGGATTACAACGATGATATTATATTATTCAAATACGAGGTAGATATGACACTAGCGCCCCATAACTGAGGCACTCAAATTACACCAATTGGTGGAATTAGACTGCAATTCTATAGACTGCTATCTCTTTTCTTTTTTTTTTATGCGAAAAGTTGCCAAACGAGCAGACGGGTCACCTGATGTTAAGTGAATACCGCCGCCCATGGACATCTGCTACACCCGAGGGTTACAGATGCGTTGACAACCTTTTTGGAAATTGGGCTCCGGCTACCTCACTCACTAGACGAAACGCGAAAGTATTTGTCATACTTCAACTTTACGCTGGTTTTCTGTGAGGTCGTGGTACTTACCGGGACCAGCCAGCCCATTCGTGTAACAGCCGAGGCTGCTGCGTGGCCCTACCACCTTGTTTTCGTATTATACGATCGATATCATATGTCACATTCACTTACATATTATGTCATATAATGTAAAGCAAAACAATTTTGAGCGCCGCGCAGTATTGACTTGAGTCATCTATAGTATTATCATTGGATTACGACAATGTTTATTCGAATAACCAAAAAACAGCGAAAGAGAGAGGTGTCTTATAAAATCCCGGACATTGGTACCAGCTTCGTTTCAGTATACCTTTTTTATTAAGCAATGATTAAATAAAAAACAAAGTGGCAGTATAAAACAATTAAATGAACCGTAAGATGTAAATAAATGGGAAGAAAGTTGGTATTGCATGTAAATTTCAATGCAATCAAAATTGTATATAAGAAAAATAATTTAGTTTCCTTGGTGATTGACCAAAAGTCACTGCAAAAAGATGTCGGTTTTTGGTGTCGTTTTTCATTTTTACACTTTTCTCGGTCTTATAGAACAAATCAGAACGATAACGTGACACGGGACCGTTCCTTAATATTAATTAACCCTTTTGTAGAGAGTTTTTTTTAAACAAATATTTCTAATTCTAACTGGGAGTTAATATAACTGCTTTTAGTTTCGGAGTTGTTACAAGTAATGAAATATGACATATGTAAAATCAAAATCAAAATCAAAAATATATTTATTTATTCACATAGACGCTTGCGCTCTCTTATGAATATGAAACGTCAAGTGGTTCAATTACACTTAAGTAATTAAAAATGTTCCACCGTAGCACAAAAGCACATTTAACTAGGAAGTTAAATGTGCTTAGGAAAAGAATAGGAATTCTACTTAGCAATAAACTTATAGAATATTTTATAATTTAAAGTCGTAACTTATAAATTACCTTAAGAACGCTCCAACTTAGACCTCATTCCTTTTTAAAGATATCTATGTTCATTCCAAATTACTCCAGATACAGAGCGCAAGTTCAGATGCAAGTTTAACGCATTACTATCAACGGTGCTATTGTCATGCTATTATAAGCTACATCGTAGATGGCACGGGTTTGGCAAAGCGTCCGCACATAATTCTATTCGGAAAAATTTCACAACGTCGTAACCCATTGCAAAACTGGGTCGAATATCATAATTCGTTATAATCCAATCGGCCTAATATATGGGAAAAAAATTGAGAAATGCCTCTAGCCAACTAACCTTCGATTTTCTCGCGGGCCGCTCGTCTCGACCTTACTGAATGGATTGGCACACTCGCGTGGAATGCCGGAAATCGGCAGCCCAACCCGTGACGCGTCCGAACGACGCGGTGTCTGGACAACGACTGGCGTTTTCTACGACCCTATCTCTATCAAGCTTGCGCTGGAGCCGGTCTTGTGAAGCCTTCGGACGTTCTTCCATTGGAATCGTTGAACGCGTTTTACGCAACCGTTTAAGTCTTGTTTACAGTTTTCCCCGATCATTGTTTTATGGGGCAGTAAGATAACATATTTTTAATTGATATAGCATTCCTGCGGAAATAGGCATTCGCAGCCCTGAACTGCAGTTGTTATTTTGTTTATTTATTTTAAGACTTCATGCACATAACTCTGTAAATAGGCGGATTTAATGCCGACAGCATTTTCTATCAGACAACCTTAGGATGGTACCGAGATTTTGAGGTAGGCGCACAAACATTTAAAATATAAATATTATACTAATGACACATAAATATATACATAATACAATACAATTAAATAAAAGTTTACATATATATATACTGTACTATAAATATATACATATACATAAATGTATACACAAATACGAATACATATTTTTATCTGATGATATTGATGATGATATTTTAGAGTTTTCTTTATAAAAATCATTGGCTTTGGATGAATAAAGGCCGATATAGACGCGGCGTTAAAAAGTATTGTTCTGAGATCGCGAGACAATTCGAGTCAGGCATTTTTTAAAAAGTTTTGCGTAATCCCATTTCTTCCTGACAGTAATCTGGGTGACCCACAAGACTGATTTATTATAGCTTTTACCAAACAGTATTAATCAATAATAGTTAACCGAAAGTATGTCCAAACAACTATTATAATTCAATCGCACACGATACACGCGGCGGAAAGGAAAGTCGGTTGACCTTTATCAACAATAGTGGTGTAATTGACATAAAAATATTGCACAAAATATTCTAGGCAGGATGTGCTAGAATATTGTGTGCAATATCTTTGAACAATTATTTCGGTGATAGCTAGATTAAGATAGACCCTTTTTGGATATTATAATAGAATTTTCAAAAATAAATTCGAAAAATCTATTGTTGTTTACTGAATATTCATGCACGTGAGGTCGAACTATCATTAGGCATTTTAAAGGAGAGAATATTTATCAAAGGTAAATTATGTAACGGTTGCCCATTTATTATGTCGAGAGCTCCATTTCGGTGGGAAAAGGAACCAAAATTTATGTCAGAGATCGATTTTGGCTACTCGGTACTTAGTGTTCTTAATATTAATTGCAACATACGAAAATATCATAAATAATAATAATTACAGAAAACTGCAATAATACATTTTAATATAATCAAATCTTGAAAATCTAACTTATATAACCTAACCTACCTAACCTCTAACATACTAAATGTATAATTAATTATATAACCCCTAGATTTTCAAGATTTGATTTTATTTAGTTTAGTATTATTTCAAACTTATTTGTGCTAATAGAGTTTTTTTGCAATCGGTTCTATTTTTTTTGTAAAGTTTTCTTTTATTATTTGTGATTTAATTTTAATACTTAAGTATTATAAAATATGGGTAGACCTAGCAAAGATGCTGCTGTTATGAGAAAACGGCACGCACCCTTACTGTAAGCCGTTAAGGAGTACTATTGATCATCATCTTTGACTACGAAAATTACTTGGTCATAAGTACGTTTCCGTAGTTGACTTAAATATCCGGATAGCCTTTAAAAGATATGGCCAAGTATTTGTATTATTTTATAAGTAATTTGCTCCTAAGAATTGAAGAGTTCCGTTTCTTTTTCCTGAATCCCATAATCACAACCTAACCAAACTCTCATCTTAGTTAAATGTACCCTTGAAGTACATCCTTTGCAATAAAAAAAGAATTATCGAAATCGGTCGGCGTGACATTGAGTTATTCGTCCATTTTTCGCGCACATACTACATTTACATATTAATGCAAATTTGAGACTTAGATGGTTTTCTCATCAATGCCAATGTCAGAACTGGGCCAAACATAAAAAATACAGTCGAATTGAGAACATCCTCCTCCTTTAAATCGGTTAAAAAACGGAGAGTGTAACAAAATTATTATCGGTTATTATTAATTTACCAATAGTGGCTATTGGTAAATTAATGTCTACAGCCATTATTAAGTAAGTTTTATGATCTACATCTGATGTCAACTTATTTCTTTAAAGTGTTATATACAGGGCAATAGTTTTATACAACTTGGATAGTTCTTACATAACAAAGGATTAAAATTTTAAAGTGCTAAACTCTGTCGGCACTTAAGAGTAAACATTAAAATTTGTACAAAAAGTACGAAAAGTTTTTCGATTCCCATAGCGGCGAATTAATATCTACAGCTGTTTTCTACAAATTTTAATGTATAATCCTAAGCGCAGAGTTTAGCATTATAAAAATTTAAATTACTAAAAAGCAGTGGCGTCATGCGAAAAGTCGATGGATGGATGGACCCAATTCTCAAAAGGTTGTCAACGCATCTGGAACCCTCGGGTGTAGCAGATGTCCATGGGCGGCGGTATTCACTTAACATCGGGTGAACTGTCTGCTCGCTTGGCAACTTTTCACATTAAAAAAAAATGCAGGTGGCTCAGGATCGTGCTTCGTGGTAGTCAGTGGGGGGCCATGTTCAGCAGTGGAACCAAACAGGGTGATATGATGAAATGATGATGGCGTCATCTCTCGTTCAAATTATCGTTGTAAAAGGATATTCGAAATTGTTTGTATGCAGGAATGCATGCGCCAAGCATTGCTTCAAATGCTAAAAAAACAACGTAGACAAAAGACGTTGAGATTTTCTACAAATTTTAATAACAAATAATGTATTAAAGGTTATTTGTAAAACCATTAGTTTGGATATTTTCTTTACTTTGAATATAAATTAAACGAACCGAAATATCAGTAATTGTTTATAAGGATTGGAGTTTTAAGTAGTATTGTTGTTTTTAAATAATTCAGGAAATAATTTCTTCTAACGGTAGCTGTCTTCCTCCGTCTTATAACTGCAATATGCAATCTAGAAAATTATAAATTAATTTAAATTTTTAATTTAAAGCTATTAATGGGGATATTTACACCTTGAATATGAATTAAAGTATGTTAAAGTATGATAAAGAATGGATAATAAAAATTGAAGAATCAGACATATTTTTCTTATATAATAAAGCTTGTATTAAATTTAAATAATTAATGAAGGCTATTTTTGATTTTGCCCGTTTGAGAAAATGCAGTGCTTCAAACCGTACTTCCTTAATCTAATCGCTTTATCCAACGCTGTTCACCACACTACAAGGCGTTTTCTTTGTATAGTCTTGATAATTTTTTAATTACTAAAACCTTTTTTTCCTGGTGGAAGTTGGCTTGTGGAATCATTGACTGGTCAGGAAGTTGGTCAATCTTTCGTGGAATCATTGACTGGTAGGGCCACGCAGCAGTGTTGCACGAATGGGCAGGTCCGTCCGGGTAAGTACCACCAGCTCACAGATGACGGCGTACAGTGGACGAGTTATATTTCTGCGTTTCGTCTGATGAGTGAGATGGCCGGGGACCACATTATTAAACGGTGGCAATACATCTGCAACCCTACGGGTGTTGCAAATTTCTATGGGTGGCAGTTATCACTGAACATCAGGTGAACCGCCAGCTCGTTTGCCACTTTCTCACATAAATATAGGTACCTGGAGGAGGTTTCTTTTTTTTTTTTGGTAAATCGTGTATTTTGGAAATTACTTTTAGATACAAATTACTGAGTAATGAAATATGCATAATGTTTTTCGATTTTACCGACGTAATAATAAGAAAATATGAACTGGTGTTTTTCACAAAAGAAAGAACTTAAAAAAAAAGGGAAAGGAATAAAAAAATTACAAATTGACAAAAAATACAAAATAAAGAAAGAAATGATCTGGAATCGAAAAAAAAAGGAAAAATAAGTGTGTAAATGATCGTGATACGAACCACGGCCGTCTGTTTTGGGGCCGCTCGATTACCGACCGAGCTATTATAACAATTTTTTTTGCGGCGAAATTTATTCGAATGCCATGTTTCATTCCCTGAAAACAGGGATAAAATGACATTTTCTTAAAATGCAATCACTACGAAAATAATTCTGCGGTATGATTTTATGTTATTCTCTTTCTTTTCCAACTCATTTCAAGAAATAATCATTATCATCATAATCATTCTCCTGCCCTTATCCGACCTAGCTGAAGTCGGCATATCACGGGAATCTTGTTGTAAACGGATTTGACTATGTTTTTACGACCAGCCGTCTGCCTGACATAAACCCTCCTTGTAAAACAAACACCCAGATCTGGAACAATTATCTATGGTTCACACAAATACTTTTTTTGTGTGGAAATCGAACCCACGCCCCGACGCCATCTTATTTTTTTATATTTTAAGAACATTAGCACAAAATCATCAGTATTTAGATATGCAAAGGTATAACTTGCAACACTATGACTTTAAGCTTATGTTTATAAGGTTGCTTGTGGAAGCACTGATAAAGAATTGATTTTCTAATTTTGGCCCGTGTATACACAACTGTTAGTTAGCATAACAAATAGGTAGTTACTTTTTTTAGGGACAAACGGACAGGAGGCAAAACTGATGTAAAGTTAATCACCGCCAACCATGAACACAGATGGTGTAATTACTTTACTTTACAGATTTTATTTTTCTAATTAAAAAACGTTAAATTTCATTCACATTTTTTTAAAGGGTAAATTATAAATATAAACTGATAACATAAATGGACCCAGGTCCGGTACCTGGGGTACACAACGCAATAATGATGATATCGAAGACAGCGGATAATCTACATTGTAAATGTTTAGAACTAAAATAAATTATTAAAAGATGTTAAAAATCTTGACTAGCTAGGATAACTCAATGGCTAGGAAATGAAACATAACAATGAATGCCTTTTTAAAACTATACCAAGTTTAGCCTGACCTTTCAGACCGAGCACAAATGTAAATGATTTATAATATATTACAGTTTAAATAAACACTGAATAGTGCATGCCGTAAGAAATTCAAATGTGGAATCTATTATTTCCGATGGCACGGTTCCGGACGCTACTAAACGTTTATTTTCTTAGTAATTATAATAAATAATAACATAATAACGATGACTTCATTTTTATAAATGTTTTACATTAAAGTAATAAAGAAACAAAAAGCGAAAATTACATAACAAACACGTTATAACAAATATAAATTAAGATTCAAAGTGATCTCCGGGTAGGTATAAAATTGATTTTCTTTATAATATATTAAACTTTAACTAAAACTGTACATACGCATCATGAAGTGCCTGTCAGAAACATGCATGCAACATCACAATAAAGATAATAATACCAAAAACTAGCTTAGGTCCTAAGTATAAGCCAAGGTAATAAATGGATTATAATTTTATGAACATAAGAAAAATTATAAGAGAAGTGAAATATAACATATGAATTGTAAATGGATGGAAAGGAATTTCATCTTTAATGCATTTAGCATTAAAGATGAAATTCTGTTGTTGGTTGATATGTATTCCGTGAATGACACTTAGAACTCATGCTTTGAGAATCCTGGAAGAGCTTAAGGTTAGCCAAAGGCTGAGCACTAAATATTGTGCGGACAGCGAGAAGAAGAAAAAAAAGATGCAAGACAAGTCATAAGTTGAAACACAAAACAATGGTCTGATGGGATGTCAGAAATGTAAAAAAAAATTGTAGTGGTAGGGCCACGCAGCAGCCTCGTCTGTTGCACGAATGGGCAGGCCCGTCCGGGTAAGTACCACGACCTCACAGAAGACCAGCGTAAAGTGGAAGTATGACAAATACTTTCGCGTTTCGTCTGGTGAGTGAGATAGCCGGAGCCCAATTTTCAAAAGGTTGTCAACGCATCTGTTAACCTCGAGTGTGGCAGATGTCCATGGGCGTCGGTATTCACTTAACATCAGGTGAACCGTCTGCTCGTTTGACAACTTTTGGCATAAAAAAAAAATATTGCCATTACGATGTATTGATGATTGATGATTATTAAAACATCAATATCGAATCAAAAATCGATGTGTTGATATTTTTTCAACAAGCTAACTCCGATCCTATTTAGACAACTAGCTTGAAGCCATTTACGAAGCTTTATAATTCAAAAATTGCTTCAGTTTTTCTTTCTGTTTATACATCAATTTTTTTATAACGAACCTTCCAAGGCATAAAATGTACGCATGTTGCTTTCACATCCTGTATTATCCCACGGGATTGCCGGAGTTTTTTCAAAAACTACATTTGGAATAGTCTAATTTATAATAATAGTTCCATATTTTTTTAAATTATTTTATTTTTAGTGCTAGTCTCTGTACTCTAAACGAAAAGATAAATGTTTGTTCATTTATCTACAAAAATTTTGACTTATTTACTCAAAATTTGCAATTGAATCACTAATAGTTAGTACAATTTACATGTTTTCTTTCGTGTAAATTTTGTTCATCGCACAGTAAATTTAGGTAGGTATTTAGTATTTTAAATGAAAGTAAAGAGAATTAATTATTTTAAAAAAATCATTTTATTTTTGTGTCAATCGATAATGTGTAACAGGTATCAGTTGTAGGTAAGTTGCTGTTAGATGTCTGATGACTGTTTGATCGCTTGACATAATTTTGCAGGTAAAACTTCATAAAGAGAAAGATGAAAGAACTAATACTCAACATGCAGAAGTAGTGGAAGAACGAAGGAATGGGACATGGTGTTAACTTCTGCTGGAAATGCAAATCAGTCACGACCAGGATGAACTGGATCTGGAATTAAGAACAAAAGAATGAAAATTTTGAAACAGTAATGGAAATAAATAAATATATTAACACTTTTTTATCTCGGTTGCAATGTGTTTTTTTGTATGTAAAAAAGTGGCTAGGGAGCTGGAGGTTCAACTATTGTAAAGTGATAACCTTTGCCCATGGACTTTACCGAAGGGTTGCAGATACGTTGCCACCATTTAATAAATTAGGCTCAAATTACCTAATACACCAGACGAAACGCAGAAGTATAACACTTCTACTTCACGCCGGTCTTCTGTAAGATCGTGGTACTTCTGCGAACGGACATGCCCATTCATATCCAGACAAGTATTCTTTATAACTATATCATATAATAATAAAAGTATTATTAATAATAATTGATCTACCGTTGTAATGGTCAATACAAAAAGAAAAGTTTTAATGTCATCATCACCATCATCATTTCAGCCTGTTTGGGCCCACATAGGGCTCTCGCACAGACCGCCACGAAGCACGATCCTGAACCACCTACGTCCACCGACTTTTCGCACACTTGCTTAGAATTTCACATGTAGTGGGGATCCTTAACTACGCTATCTAATACGAGGCCGCTTGATAATCTTTCTTCCCCGTCGGCTATTGGTTAAGCTCATTCATCGCGATACTCACAAGCTGTATCTTCGTCAAATGCTTCTTCCACCAAATGAACTTGGTGAAACGCGGACCCATGGACGCCAATCCGTAGTAAGCGTACATCAGCACATGTACAAAGCTATTTATCAGGCCCACGACTACGAAATGGTCTGATGGCTCGTGCACGTAGTACAGCCAGGCCCAAGTGACCATGATGCTGTGGTGGTACACGTGGAGGAAGGTCACCTGGTTGTCCTTCTTCCGTAAGACGAAGAACACCGTGTCTAGTAAGTCTATCTGTTTCGCTAGAAAGTAGGGGAAGATGTCTCGGATGACCTGAAAATTATAAAGGTTAAGAATCGTATTTCTTTATTATTTCTTAAGAAAGCGCGGTAAAAAACTTTAGTATTAACGTGAAAGGGTTTCTTTGGTAAATAATATTTTACGGATTTTATTACATTTAGTTAATAGTTTTATCAAACAATTATTTATCACATTATATTTAAACATTTATCATTTTGTATATTTAGTTTACATAATTATACCAGGCCTTCAGACAACTTCTGTACAGAAATTAGGGTCAATCCCTTTTTCAATTGAATAAGAAGGAAGCAGCAATAGTATCAACGAATTCATTTTTTTCTCGTTTAATTATGATAATTCCGACATTTACGTTTCAATGTCACGAACCGAATGAGATTTTTCCACTTCTTCACTTCTAAGGGCTACCATCAACTTTGCAAACAGAGAATTCATTAATATTAGTATGAATTAATTTTGATGTTACTAACCGATTTCAATAGCTCGCCCCGTGGACACTTCGTTGTGAAGATTCCATGTCTCACTACATACCATGTGTACTAAAACAAAATATACCATGTGTTTGAGTGTTGATTTAGTTAATATAGAGGGCAGGTCAGTACGGTGGCAGGGCCACGCAGCAGCCTCGGCTGTTGCATGAATGGGCAGGGCTGTCCGGGTAAGTACCACGACCTCACAGAAGACCAGCGTAAAGTGGAAGTATGACAAATACTTTCGCGTTTCTTCTGGTGAGTGAGGTAGCCGGAGCCCAATTTTCAAAAGGTTGTCAACGCATCTGTAACTCTCGGGTGTGGCAGATGTCCATTGGCGGCGGTATTCACTTAACCGAACCGTATGCTCGTTTGACAACTTTTCGCATAAAAAAAAACCGTTTTTACCGTAAGAGCACACGGGGCCCATGCCCTGGGCCCTATTGCTAGGGGGCCCCCGGAAGGCCGACATTGCCGAATTTGACACAAATCGCGAAAAACTGACACGACACAGCCCAATCGCGTTAATGGGTAAAATGTATTTAAAGGAGAAAAATGGTTTAAATCAGATATTTAATGTCATATAAACAGTATATTTAAATGGCCAAGTGATGACAATCTGTCAGGTTACATTTTCCACGGGACACCAAGTGCGCTTCTCTGGAAAAATGTAAAAATTTAGGGATAAATTCAATCCACGATTCTCACAATTACTAATTGTTCTCTGCCCGAGGGCCCCGGTATGGCCTAAGATGTCCTTGGGGCAGGTCTGTGGTTATAGGGATATGACAGAATAAATACAATTATTACGCATTCTCCTAAACGTACCTCAGACAACCATAAGCATGTCGCAAATTATTATTAACAGATGAGCGCACGTATGTAAGAAAAACAAGTTACGTTTTCAAATAAAAAAAAATTCGTCAATAAGTTAAGACTTTTTGTATTTCTACACTGCCAAAATTTCCTCCATTTCGTTCTCGTCTGATGTAAAGTTGGTTATTTATAAGAAAGTAGAACAAGTTAATTTGTTTATTAACGAAAAACAAAACCGACTACAAATATCTCGCTCTGTATTAATTTTATAATTTATTCTCAGGAGTTCCCTACGTATCTCCGGAGCCCAAGATCCAATACCAATGAAATTAATATGGGACCACATGGGAAGCACCAGCTCTCAAATAAAAAAAGAATCATCAAAATTGGTTACTCGGTCAAAAGTTCTGAGCTAATATATAAACATAAAAAAAGACAAATATAGTCGAATTGAGAACCTCCTCAGTTTTTGAAAGTAAAGATAAAAGATTGCATAATAGCACTTACTATTATAACCAGATAACTGGAATAGACCACTTGAAAACTATTGTAGCAAATCAACAGCCCTTTCAATTTATACGGTTGTCTATTTTTCATAAACGCCGGTAGGAGTTTCAAAACCAAGACAAGGTATGTGCCAATTATCAAAATTAAAGCGCAAATAGTCTCTAGAAGGCTCCATGTCCCAAGGGAATCTGTAAAATAACAATATTCTAAGAAGCATACAATAATAATTATATATGAATGAATGAATATATTTATTTATTTATTTTATAATTTATGTGCACAGAGAATTATGACAGAAATGTAAATACATGAACGAATTTGTACAAAGGCCCTGAACATATACTTTATTGCACAACAAAAATAAAACAAACAAAAATTAAAACTTAATGTAGAAGTGATGGGTACAATGGGCTTTTGAATAATTTCTTCCAGGCAACCTTTGGATAGACTAAATAGAAAATAATTTAGGAATAAAGTGGGTAGGTTTTTAGTAGGAATAAAGGTGTATATATGTGTTGCATGTTATAATATAGGTAGAACCATCTCGAGCACGTCACCTTTCAAACAAAAAACCGTATGATAAATAGTCTATTCGTATAGAAGCTACGATACAACAGACGGACACGTCAAACTTATAATACCCCTCCTATTACGTCTGTGGTTAAAGAGTGTGACTGTGAGCATCTTTTCAACTCTTCTAGTTTGGTGACCTAAATCACAAACAAAATATACTCACAATCTATAGCATCTTCAGTCTTGAGATTAGGTTTATACCGAACATCCATTTTCACAAATTAATATAAATAAATGTATTTCAGTAACTGTGTTAATCCAAAAAAGTGTTTTCATTGAAATTAACTTAATAAAAATAAGTATGTTATTTATAATAATTTTTGTTTTATCAGCTTAGCACATTAGACGGAACTTAATCAATAACTGAAACAATCAATGTGTCCCGTCTATTTAACAGATCCATATTAAGTGAATGTGGCAATTGTCGGCCAAAGGTTTTGTATGCAAATGCTTTGTTCCAATTTCTCTTCTTTGTCAATATTAAATTGTAGCTTTGGTCAAATCATTCCGATTTGTGATTCATGTCAATTGCACATGTTTTATCATTTAAATTTATTATTATTAAATTTATTTAATCAGAATAATCAAGATTTATAATTCGATCACGCATCGACGACTCGATTGGAGTCGTGGGTAGTGACACTGTCTCTGGCGCCAAGAGGATGTGGGTTTGCTCCCCACTAGTGGCAAAATATTGTGTGATGAACATAGTGTTTTTTCAGTGTCTGTTTTTTTTTTATGTGAGAAAGTGGCAAACGAGCTGGCGGTTCACCTGATATTAAGTAATAACCGCCGCCCATGGACATTTGCAACACCAGTAAGGTTGCAAATGCGTTGTCAGCTTTAAATAAAGTGCGCCCCGGCTACCTCACTCATGAATGACGAAACGCAGAAGTTTAACACTTCTTTTACGCCGTTCTTCTGCGAGGTCGTTGTACATACCCGGACGGACCTGCCCATTCGTGCAACAGTGAACACTGTTGCGTGGGCCTGCCACAGTTAATATGTATTTACAAAAGAAAACTAAGATTATTACAAAAAGAAAAGAAAGTTTTTGTATGTTTATCAATTATCCAGTAGCCATAGTACAAGCGTTGTTTAGTTTGGGACTGACATTTTTACACATCATTTTCTATGCTGTGTAAAAATGTGTCCTAAAATATTTTGTTTATTTACTTATTTTCTTTTAAAAGAATAAACAAAGGTATACTTAAAAGTAATAAGTCTATATAGGTAATAAAGGCTGTTAGAGACTAACAATTCTACCATTCTACCATAAGCATTTCATAAAATTTCATAAAACATGTCATTGCTATTCTGAAGGCAAAAGAAACTACTATTTTGTATTATAAGTTTATGTAGAATAACGAGCTATAAAATGTATAACACTATCTATGGCCCCACCTCTTTTTCTGCAAACGGGAAGCATAATTGTCTACAGTTATTTTACAGGTACTGCACGCAGATTATAATGCTGTTCGTCATATCACGGTCATTCCCAGGTCACCCAAGTCGTTGTAGGTCATTCAAGAGCATGTAAGAGTCATCAATGGGGAAATATTATGAAAAGTTTTAATCAATTCAATATTGACGTGAATGAACTAATGACTATTTATTGCCTATGACTTATTTTTTTTTTTTTGTAATAAAATGCGGCAAGCGAGAACCTCGTCCGTGGACGTTAAATAAACAGATATACTGCCAATATTAAATTGATTAATGACTACATACAACGCATTACATAATTCTAGTGTTAATGAGTCCCCTAAAAAAACTGACGAACTTATAAATGTTGTGAGAACCAGTAATAACGCGCTTGATATTGATATTTTTTCAAACAAATATTTTAAATTTAAAAAATATGTACGTGAAGCCCTTAATTGATTTAATTTTTTATATTTGTTTATGTTTACGTTTATTTTTTCTTCGTTTGATCTATTTTTTTTATTTTTGATTACTTTTTTTGGATTTACTTTTTTTTGTTAACATTGATGCTGCAAACTTCATTGTACTCACTATTCGCTGAGTTTTTATCTTTTATTTAGTGTTTTTTTTTTCGCACAAGTTGCACCTATAATTGTGATGGCACTCACCAAGCTTGTTGTTAATAATATTACCTATAAATTGTTTAAATTTAGTGTTCATCTTGTTGGTGTAAAAAAATAAATAAATATTTAAGGACTTACCCGATTAGTTCACCTATCGGATGAACCATATGAGAATTTTCTAAAAGCAGCTACTGCATGGCGCTATTACAGTTGAAAACGATTCGTTGATGTGAACTTCACATACATCATTGTTCTACTACGAGCAGTCCTCTTCAAGCCCAATAATTGGTGACATTATAAAACATCATGACGTGCTATAGCGTCATAAAAACATCCGCTTCGTTCTAAAAGTTTTGTAACACCACCGCCAAATATGTAACAATACTGAGGTTGTTATTCGGAGTCGATGAACGCAACATTCTCCGATGTGTCGCTAATTAATACCATAATACACGGTGACCTTAATTGTTTGTGTCGACGCTACAGTATAACGTTAAGAGACAGTAAAGCTTATTTAAAGGCTCAATTAAATTCAAAGAAAGTAAGTATTAAGTAAGTTTTGTAAGGCTTTCGTGTTTAAAATATCACTCTAAAGATAATTGTACCATTTTATAAATGTTTTTTTTTAAACAGGTTCATGTTCGTGGTACGCCACACGATTGTAAAATTGCTATTAATATTTTGCAGGCAATGGCACACAAGGAAATTGAAATTTTTATTCGAAAGTCTCTTTGTGCATCACTCGTTTTACATAAATTATAATATATTTTGATTTGATTGTTTGATTTATGTATATACTCGTAACTTGATTATGGTTATATAAATATAATTTTCTGTGACGATGGCAAGATACCCGATGTATTAACTTTGATCCCATGGGAGAGGGTCAAAGCCCTTGTTTGCGATCCTACTTGTGTATATACTTGGCTGCATCTCTTCTAAGGGGTACTTTGGTCAAGGCTGCGGTGGCATCAGAGGCAGCTGAAGTAAATAAATGGGGCAAATATGAGTATCTTTGTTCAGATTATGTATTTGTGGCATTTGTTGTTGAAACTTTCCTATCAAACACACCACGTGATTGTAAAATTGCTATAAATATTTTGCAGACACACAAGGAAATTGAAATCGTTACACGAAAGTCTACATTTTTGTGCATTACTCATTTTGTATAAATATTACAGGCTAACTGGTGGTTCATCTGATATTAAATGATAAGGGCCGCCCATGGACATTCGCAACACCCGTAGGGTTACAAATGCGTTGCCATCTTTTAACAAAGTGGCCTTCGGCTACCTATTGAGGTAGCCGAAGGCCACTTTGTAGCTGGTGATTGCACCAGACGAAACGCTGAAGTATGACACTGCCACTTTACATCCGTCTTCTATGAAGTCGCGGTATTTGCCCGGACGGACCTGCCATTCGTTCAACAGCCGAAGCTGTTGCGTAGTACTACCACAGCTCGAAAAAACTGCTGTTGAAACTTCAAAAATATTTTCTTAACAAAACACCACGCGAGTGTAAAATTGCTATTAATATTTTGCAGGTATTCAAGTCTGAAAGCCTAAATTTTTGTACAGCACTCGTTTTAGATGAACAATACAGGTTATATTTAGGTACTTTGATTAGATTTTTTGATTTATATTTATACTCGTAATATGGATATGGTAATATAATATATAATGAGAACCTAGTATAACTTACAATTATTGTCCAAATGAATGATCCTTCTAGCTTAGAGTCCTGGGGCATTTTCCGTGACGATTGCAATAGATCCGACGGCTTGTCTTTGCTCCCCTGGGAGTGATGCTCCCTTGGGATGATTCATGTGAGGTGTTCTTCGGTCGGGGTCGGGGCAGCATCAGAGGCTGAAGTAAGTAAGAGGCGCAAATATTGGTCTCTTTTCAGTTTATGTACTTGTGCCATTTACTGTTAAAATTTTAGGCCAGTAAAACTATAATTAAACTTCACACTAAATTACCGGTCCAATTTGTTTTATAACGTTAAGGATCGCTGACTTAGTAAAGAATCACAAAATGCTGGCAGCTTCCGGTAGTGCTTCTAACGCCGTATTGAAAAAAATTTTTGGCTATATCTCGGAAACTAAGCAAAAGTCATAGAGACAATTATTGTAGAGCATAATGGGGCCTAAAAATCCACGAACTGTCAGGACTTCGCGATTTTATACTCCGTAAGCGATCCTAAACCTTATATAAAAAATTGCATCGGTGGTTTAGCCTAAAGTTGACCAAAAAGCGCCTATTTTTACTGGCATATTACGTTACTAATTCGTTTGCGGACATTTCCTTTCGCACCTTATAATGCCGCCTGTAATTGCGTTCACTGATTACATGGCGCAAATCATTAACTCCACAATGACTGCCGATCGTGTCATACTGCAACCGATAACCAACTAGCCTAGTTTTAAGTATTTCAATACTGACGCGATGCGAAAATTATTTTGGAATTTCTTTTCTTAGTTAAAGTAAAGTTTCTTCGCGTCATTACATAGTATAAAACAAAGTCGTCCACGCTGTCTGTCTGTCCCTATGTTTGCTTATATCTTTAAAACTACGCAACGGATCTTGATGTGTTTTATTTACGAGATAGAGTGATTCAAGAGGAAGGTTTATATATATTATAATACATTGCACCCGTGGGAAGCCGGGGCGGGTCGCTAGTCTAAAAATAAAAAGTAATAACTCAGACTTCATGTATCAACAGTATTAATGTATATTTTAAAGCTTTGTGGTCAAAACGATCATCAATCAATATTGCTTGACCCGTAGCTCTACATTTAACTATATCATTAATATCAAAGCCCGTGACAGTGTAAAGATCGTAAAAAGTGTCAGGACATAAGTAGCATTATATTGAATATGTTGTAAGGTTAAATAAAGGACACCGTACATGGCTTTGTTTATTTATTTAATACATTCCAAATGACCTTCATCGTTATTACTTTGTACAGTCTTCAGAGGAACATCTATTGCCAGTATGAAACTCATTTGAACGCTCAACTATACCAGTATAAGACTCAGATCTGATGTTATTCGTCGTCACGCTGTGGGCTCTAAAACTTTACTTTGTTGTATAATGATCCTGCCATAAAAATTACGATCGTCTTATTGCTTCATACTAAACTCAACATTAAAAATTTAGATCAA